GTGCTTGTGTAATTATGTGCGTGTCGGTTATGATCTTGCGCAGTGTTGCTTTTCTGCATTCCTATCCCACTGAATTTATTTCAGTCTGATATTTCTCAGGCCCTCTCTCTCTCTTCCTTTTTTCACAGCTTGACTGGTACCATACAACCTGTAATATAGACATCACTGATTTTGACAGATGATAACATTTTCAAAAATCGGATTCACTCTAAAGGAAGAACCTTTAAATATACAGCCAAATCTAGGTACCTAAATATTACCATGGCATTATGTTGATGGTTTTTTCTTGGGTAAGCACCTCCCAAAACCTCCCAGCATTTTAATTTCCTGATTGGAGACCAAATAACATCTTTCTTCCTTATTTTGCATGTTTGCGTGTGTGTGTGTGTGTGTGTGTGTGTGTGTGTGTGTGTGTGTGTGTGTGTGTGTGTGAGTGTGTATGAGTGTGTTTGTGTACATGCTTGTCTTTGTGTGACTAAACCACAAACCTATCATCCCTGTCTAAACAATTATAACTTTACATGTTGTTATGCACCCGTGATCAACAGCTGGTTGGTTGTCAATCACATCAGAAAGCACTGATGGCCCAATCAGGTTTATCTTCTCGGGGTGCAGCCATGCCTGAGATCTAAGTCTGAAGAATCTGGTCTCGCTTGCTCAACCTGTTACTGAAGGACGGGTTAAAGACAAATGATATAGAAAGAGACTGAGGACTCTGAAAGACAGATTCAGGAAGACAAGAGGGAGAGAAAGACACCTTAAAGATGTCTGACTGAGGAAAATGGACTCAGTTAAATCCAGGTATCTATTGGGGAAGACTTAACTGAGAGTGACTGTGTGTGTGTGGGTGGTAAAGGAGATTGTCTAAAACACATCTAAATAATTAAAGAACTGAGACTGCACTGTAAATCTACTTTCACTTCAGACTTTGTGTGACTTACTGATGTAAATGGCATCTGAATCTACTTTTATTTCACCAACGCTGAATTTGTTTTCGAAATTATGTGTTACGACTTGTGTGTTTATGTATGTTCCATGTTATGCCTGTATGTGTAAGCACAAAAGTGCATTTGCAAACAGTTTATGTGCATGTATGTGGCCGTGTGTGTGTGTGTGGTATGTGTGTGGTATGTGTGTGTGTGTGTGTGTGTGTGTGTGTGTGTGTGTTTGTTCGTTCAGGGTATTTTACCCTGAATTGATGGCTGATGATAAAGTTGACACGGTGAGTCTGAGCAGAATTGGTGTATTGCCAGAAGTGATGTCAAACGTGGGTGGATTTTCAGATCTTTCCCAGAACATGTGTGCGCGAGTCTCCTGAATCACACACCCGTGAGATTCATACATGACTGGGTAAATGTGGCTCACCTGAAATACAGTGAATTGTATGAATCAGAGTTAGCGTGTGAGGATATGTGTGTTTATAAGCTTCAGCTTGTCTGTGCATGGGCATGTCTCTTGTATATGGAATCCTGGCATGTAATGTGTGTGTGTGTGTGTGTGTTTAAATATAGTGTATTTACCACTCGACTTACTTACATTTTGGGGACAAATTTGTCCCCTGAAGTAAACTAAAACTTCCTTTGGGGATAAAAATACTGTTAAATGTATTTTGAGAAATAAAAGAACAAGTCATCTTATAATTTACAATTAAAAACTATCATTCCCAGAATTCCCTGTGTGATGCTTCACATTTGATGGTTCTTCATTAAAATAAGTATAGTGATTATGCTAATTCGGCAGAAAAGGGCTGTTGGATTTAAAAGTTGTTGTTTTTTTTGTATTTGTAAGTTACCACAGTTTTAAACTGCATATATATAATATATATATTAAATATACAATAAACACAAATAGTAAATATCTAAGTGAGGGTTCAGATTGAGGGGGACAGAAGACATCATTAGCTCTATAAAAACAAGAGACGTCAATGGAAAATAATAGAAAACCCACCATGATAGAAAAACAAGCACGTATGTGGCATGCTGGGTCAGGTCATGCGATGTGAGATGTTTCGAGATTTAAAGGTCACGTCAGTGGGCTTCAGAAGCCTGGTATCAGTTCCTTCCAGTTGTGGTTTACAGTTTTTTTGTGGGTTATAAATTGTTATGCAACTGTGTAATTACAATTTTTTTTGTAATTACTCAATGCTGCTACTACTTTCTCTTCTACTTTCCCTGTTTTGATCTTTGATCTTATTCATGTGTTAGACTATTAATCCTCATACTGCAATCTTATCTGTGTCTATCAGTAATCCATCAAAAGGACCGGAACTGAGCAATATCATGGCCCCAGAGGAAACTGCCCTCGGTGACAAGAGTGACAGACAGCGGGAGGAAATGAAAGAGGCAGCCACAGACTCTCCTGATGGATTTGTTGCAGTACCATCAGTCGTTCAGCGGAGGGCACGAGAGAAACACAGATACAACACCGTAGGCTACCAGGTACCGAATTCATTCTAGATTATCATTTAGCACTGGATCATGCTTGCATCAGGTGCGTTCATCTAAACTGACTTTTAATGCATTGTAGATAGTCAAAAATGTCATGGGGTACTACGGTTCTGATATCATAACGAAGAAAAAAGGCCTAATAAAAAGATGAAATTCTTGAAAGGAAAATCTTATGTAGTTAAGCATAATGTTTATTAGCAAAAAATCTTTTGTTATGTGGTGCAAACAACAAAGTCAAGTGGTGCGACAAAAGTGCTGATAAAATCAAAAAAGGAAATGATATCAGGACCCCTAAAAACAATGCGTCTTGGCCAATAAGTCTCATAAAACAATAGTCTATTTATGACATGATAAGGTTAGTTCAAGTTATGTAAAATATTGTATGGTACAACCTTCCAATATGGAGCTCCAAATTAAATAATTTAAATATTGAAATAAATGATTATATTTTATTTATTATCATTATAGTTAAATAGTTCATAAAAGCACAAATATGCAGTGCAGTCATGTTGACTACAAAACTTCAAAAAACGTGGGTTAATCGGGCTTTAGCGGATTTCTGTCAATTCGGCTTGTCACATTTAACAATTTTGTTTTGTCAGAAAAAGAAGCAGAGGACAGCTGTGGACTTTTCTACAGTGAGCAAGGGAACATCTGCCGGGGTGAAGAGCAGAGTTGCATTAAAGCAGGCACTTTTTAGCCAGGGAGTGTCTGACAAAAATGGCACATTTGAGGTAATTCATTTTTTGCCTGAACCGAGTACATAGTTCATAGGTACATAGGTTACATAGACAACTGACTGATTACATTTATTTTATTCCAATCTCTGTCTCGATCGGGTGCTGTACAGGGGCAGGTGGATGCACTGAAACAGGTTCTGGACTCTTTCAACATACCTGCGGACCTGAGGTGGACATGGGGGGAGGGAGGTACTGAAAGAACACTGGAAAAGAGCTGGACAGACATAGTGCACTCTCATGAGGTAACAGAAAGAAATAGGAGGGGGGAAATACTTTCGTAACTTCCAAAATCCGACATAGGCTATTTCTACGGAACCCCTGAACGAGACAATGCTTTTCAATTTTTTTGCCTTCTCGCCAATACCTCCACATGGCAGTTTGTTAGGACCTACTTGTATACGTTTTGCGTATACAATTCAGTGGCTAATTCGTATGAATTCGTAAGATCATTTTTATAGCCTACTTTTATATGATCTGCTTATGCCCCACTGACTGTTATGTTTTATATCTTATGTTTTAAACTTGTAACATCTATAAAAACATGTATGAATTCGTAAGATCATTTTTATAGCCTACTTTTATATGATCTGCTTATGCCCCACTGACTGTTATTTTTTATATCTTATGTTTTAAACTTGTAACATCTATAAAAACATGTTATAGCATTTATACAAAATAAATAACATCATATGAATTAATATGAAATCATCACCTTGTAAAAAATAGTTACATTTTACATTCCGTAATGGTTGTAAAACAGGTTGTGTGATTATGACGTCTGCAGAAAGCATAACACAGAATCATGCTCAATAAGAGATCAAAAATAAAAATAGAACAGAGAAGACAGCAGAAATCATGTTGCATGTTCTATGACATTCTCTATTTCTCTCTATTTGTAGTCTATGTCAAAAACCCAGCGACACCAGCAGGAGGCGCTGTGGGAGCTTCTGAATACTGAGCTTACCTACATCAACAAACTCACTATTGCCAAAGAAGTATGTCATAACGCTACAGTTTTTTAACATTATGGATTTATTATAATTTATAGACAATCAATTCACTATAACAACAAAAATTAGAACAATAATATGTGTATGCTGTGCAGATGTTCTTTAACACATCGTTCCTTAGTCCTTTGTATTTTCATTCATGCATTTTTTATGTATTTTTTAATAAGTGATGCATGTAACACTGTTGCTAAAGCTATGGCTAATGCACTTTCTCATTTCTGCACAGCTCGTGATGGCAGCACTGTCACACTGTCACAGATACGGATTTCTTCAAGAAGTATGTGCATCTCGTCTCGTCTTTCACATGTTTACGTGGAACCTTTTTCTTCTGAATTGACCTTCTAGAGTTACATACTCAGCGTATCTAAATGGCAGGCAGACGGACTGCACAGCTGTATGTGACGGCAGAAGTGCGGTCAAATAATGTGCCGTTCACTGTCATCTGTCTGAGATCACTCATTCTGTTCATTGTATAATCTAGAGCATTACTGGTGGTCACAAATGGAAACATTTTGTACGGACAAGATGGAAAATGATTTTGCTCTGGTGTAGAGCGTGTGGGCGACACAACCTGTATCAATGAATCTTTTTCCATTACTGTCTGTTCTTTCTTTCTTTCTTTCTTTTTCTTTTCTTTTCTTTTCTTTTCTTTTCTTTTCTTTTCTTTTCTTTTCTTTTCTTTTCTTTCTTTTCTTTTTCTTTTCTTTTCTTTTCTTTTCTTTTCTTTTCTTTTCTTTTCTTTTCTTTTCTTTTCTTTTCTTTTCTTTTCTTTTCTTTAATTTATAGACAATCAATTCACTATAACAACAAAAATTAGAACAATAATATGTGTATGCTGTGCAGATGTTCTTTAACACATCGTTCCTTAGTCCTTTGTATTTTCATTCATGCATTTTTTATGTATTTTTTAATAAGTGATGCATGTAACACTGTTGCTAAAGCTATGGCTAATGCACTTTCTCATTTCTGCACAGCTCGTGATGGCAGCACTGTCACACTGTCACAGATACGGATTTCTTCAAGAAGTATGTGCATCTCGTCTCGTCTTTCACATGTTTACGTGGAACCTTTTTCTTCTGAATTGACCTTCTAGAGTTACATACTCAGCGTATCTAAATGGCAGGCAGACGGACTGCACAGCTGTATGTGACGGCAGAAGTGCGGTCAAATAATGTGCCGTTCACTGTCATCTGTCTGAGATCACTCATTCTGTTCATTGTATAATCTAGAGCATTACTGGTGGTCACAAATGGAAACATTTTGTACGGACAAGATGGAAAATGATTTTGCTCTGGTGTAGAGCGTGTGGGCGACACCACCTGTATCAATTAATCTTTTTCCATTACTGTCTGTTCTTTCTTTCTTCAGGTCAGCCCCACAATGCTCTTTTCCAATCTTCCTTCTATCCTTGATGCACATCGACTTTTTTGGCATGAAGTGATATATCCAATGTTACAAGAGGTCCGTCTCACTGGAAGCCCTTTTGACCCTCTCAGACTTGAGGCAGGATGTTTGCAGGTATGATACAATGACTGTATATTAAATTATAAGCAATAAAGCTAAAAATAGATCCACCTTTGTTATTGCCTAAGACCCCCTCTACTTTTTACCTCATTTTTCATCTGTTCTAGTTTCCTGACCATTTTCCTGCATACTTTGAATACTGTTTGGAAGAGGAGAGAAATGTGGAGTTTACACGGAGACAGCTTAACACAAACCCACAATTTCACACTTATCTTACGGTACTGCAAATCATATTTATACGTTGAAAGCAGGGAATTATTCTATTGGGGAAAACAAGTTCCAGTTAAGAAATAGTATCAAATGAGCAAGAGTGCTAATATTAGCATGATTCGGCAGTAGACATGAGGCTGTAGGTAAACACAGGTCATATTGAATATTGACTAATTCACATTTTATAAACAAAAATTGAATGAATAATTCAATGACTCCCCCCTTAACACAGTCACTTGGTTCAATTCTGAATAAGTCAGCATTTTTAAACAGACCGGTTGAATGGTTGATTCAGATGACTAATTCATGTACAACTTCTTGCCACCTATAGGGTCACAGAAAAATGCCTAAAACATTCAAACATACAGTGCTACACAAATTCAAAAATCCCACCTCTGCTTAAGTCCAAAAATCAACACTTTTGGAACACCACTAAACCAGTGAAATTTGAGTTGTGTTTAATATTTGCAATGTTGTCTTTTTCAGTTCAGGTATTTCAGTGTGAAAAAAAATCTTGGACTCAGCTGTTTTGTAAACTTGTTTTCTCTCATTTAGCACAGGTTTTTTATTTCTTTTTGCAACTGATTGGTCGTAGACCTCATTGACTGGGCTTATGCAGTTTTTGAGTGAAAAAAGGAATATTTGTGGACAATTTTGACAATGTTCACTCAAGAACTAAGCTCAGATCAATGGGGAAAATACTCGGGAATTTTGGGAAATCCTCTCCAGGTCAAAACACAACATGAAGGTTAATAGATCTTAATGTGCAGAACATGTTTGATAAGTTTTGAAAATGTTTTAAACTTAAAAAGGAAACGCAGAATGTTAGTTTATGCAGCAAAAAAAAAAAATCCTGAAGCTAAATTAAGGCTGGAAAAAATGGTAAAAAATAGACATAAAAATGGGTAGTGAGGTGTGAATTTGTTTTCCACATTTCAGTTGAAATGTTTACCACACCAAGTTCCCCAGTCAATGTTTTTTGCACCAATGGACAGTATGCAAAGTCAGCAGGGTAGAAATGACTATGAGATTGCTTGCCTTTGTGGTGGTTTGACTATAGTGGTAGGTTATGGGGGTGAGCTGTTTCCTGAAGGGTACATCGTTGAAATAACTGCGCATTAAGCCCCGAAATTGCTTAATTTAATTTCTATTTAATTGACTAGATGTACAGTAAAATGAAAATCAACATATAGAATGTCAGTTTTGAAATCACCGTGCTAATGTGTGATCATTTAATCATTTAATGTGATAATTTAAGCAACAAAAAAAAAAAGTTTCAACAATAAATGAGTTAAAATGCACAATTCAAACAACAGATGAGCTATAGATTACGATCGAATGTGTTGCATGAAGATATGTGCATGCATGATTTTCCTGATTGTCTTGATGTTGTTCTGCAGTGGGTGGAGAATCATCCACAGTGTGGGCGAATGAGACTCGGCGATATGCAGGCCAAACCACACCAGAGAATCACCAAGTACCCTCTTTTGCTGAAAGCTGTTCAGAAGACCACAGAAGACCTCCCCACCAAAAACGCACTTGAAAGAATGGTGAGACTGTGACACAATGGTGATGAATCACGTCATACACTGTAAATTTAATTTGTACTATGTAAAACAAATACTAAGGGCATTATGAAAACAACATTAGTTATTAAATAAAACATTTTTTTTAGTTTGACACAATCCTTTCATGGTGTGATATTTCAAACTCTTGAGCTGCATTGCCTTTGTTATCGTCTTTGTAATCTCTCTCTCTCTCTCTCTCTCTCTCTCTCTCTCTCTCTCTCTCTCTCTCTCTCTCTTTCTCTCTCTCGAATATGAACTGCTTGCTCAGTCTTTATTCTATCATTGAAGTTAAGGATAAAGATCTGCACTCTTCTCACTCACTGTCTGTTTTTCTCCTGCAGTTGAACAGTGTCAATAATTTTCTGGAATCTATCAATAACTATATGCAACTGAGAGATGATACTCTGGCCCTTTCTGTCGCTGCTCAAAGGATAGAGGGATACAAGATAGAAGGTCTGAGTGAAGAAATAGACAAGGTAAACAAAAAAAAATCATCTTGAATACACATAAACTGAACATGCTTTGCTTATAAAAAAAAGTCTAACAGAAAGATTTCAACAACAGCACGTTCGTGAGTTATGCTGCTTTGATTTGATGAGCCCGGTGAGGGGGGTGGGACCAAACGTCATACGGAAGCAACTAATGGAAGACACTTTGAAGGTCAAAGTAAGAAAGGACACCAAGGCAAGTGAAAAGACAAGCAAGGCGAATGATTTTTGTATTAACCTCAGAATTTCAGCATTTATTTCTGGTTATGTTAGGAGCTTGTGGTCCTTCTCTTCACTGATGTGTTGCTGATGACCAAAATGCAGAAGAAATCAGACAAGCTGAAAGTAGTGCGCCCCCCTCTGCCTCTGGAGAGAATATACTGCATTGAGCTCAAAGATGGATGTGAGTGTGACCACTAACACCAACATTTAACAATCTCACCTGCCTAACAGAATGTTTTAAACTGGGCTCACATCAGTATGATAGGGCCGTTATACCTTATGGCATGTTTAATGCGTATGGGCCATATTTTCATGCCCTGGTAATACTATTTTTGTTTTAATATGCCAAAATAAAGCGTTAAACACATTCTAAAATCTGTATATATATTATATACTTTAAACTGTACGAAAAACATTTGATACATCACATGCATATTATCATATGCACCACACTGTGAGAAAAAAAAATCTGCAGAGAACATTCAGGTAATTTTCTGCCAGGACATTATCAGTTAAGTTTAAGAACATGTATCAACCCTAAAACACAACACAATGCAATGTGTAATTTAAAATACTATCAGTAAAATCAATTGCTTTATATTAACACATTATTTTCTGACTTGTCTTAGAGTGCTTACCATATGCAATGGGGTCCAAAAGTCTGAGACCTGAAAATCTAGGTTCAAATTTTTATTTAGGCCAGGAAATAAGCATATTTTACCATAAACAAGTTTTAGGATTATAAATAATTTTAAAAACTAAATGTTTAGGAATTCCCCCCTTTTAGGTCACCAAACAAATAAGCACATCTGTGACGTTGATCATTCAAACTCCTATAAAAGGTCATGTTTTTAATTTCATTGAAGAGCAAGATGTTTGAACATTGTTAAATTATGCTGGTTTTACCTAAACTTTATGTAGCTCAAGTGCTGCTGTCACTAACCAAAAAAAAAAAGAAAGTATTGCATTCATATTAATATTTTAATTTAACTTTTCACTCAAATTGTTGTGCTAATACAATAATGTGTAATAATTAAAAAAAAATAAACAAAAAATAGAATTGGTTGATGCCCTATACTGTATATTATCATATATTGATGTACCAGTTATATTAGTATAAGTCAATGGTATTTATATGCTAGTATGTTGTTTGAATGCTTGTAGAAATTTGTAAATCAGGTTGTTTTAATCTATGTATACTGTAATGTAACAAAGGGAATCTCTGAGAACTTTTAAATGCAGTGCTTTTATTAAAGTGATAATGATGAAGGTACAAAAAAACAATGCCACAAGACAAAATCACGAAGACACAGAATGCATTACACACAACCAGTCAGTTTCAAAATGCATATTGATTTTCCACATGGAAAAAGCTTTCAAATAGTTCTGTTTTATGTAATCTAGCATATTATAATTAGCATGTCATTGCACAGCATGGCATATTACTTGATGTGCTGGTTTCTAATCGGGCTTTATGAGAATAGCTCCACCTGGGTGTGTCAAATACCTGCTCATACAAGTCCTGGTACATTGTCACAAAAGATGCAATTGAGAATTCAAACATGCAAATTGCCTGAATTTGTATATACTCTGGTGCACATTATAACCTCAAGAGAACTTAAGTTGAACAGAAAAGTTTTTTTTTTTGCTATAAATATTTATTTTATGATGCTAGTTTAATTCTCATACTGTGTCTATTTCTCCCCTCTTTGCTCTGTCTGGTAGATTCGTTTGTGCTGGTGGAGGTTGGTGATCTAGGTTGTGCTGTCAGTGTGAACTTCCTGTCCACACCCAGTCCAGACAGCTGCGCGTCATGGGTGTCTGCTCTGCGTGAGACTCAGGTACTTGCATTCCTCTTGCAGCAAACACACTCGACACCAGTGCGACACGATGTACAAGCCAAACCCTGAAGAAATGTAATTTGTTTTTTCCAAAATGAACACTTTGTACCTTCTTCTACCTTTGGCACTTTTGGTACAAAACAGGGTCTGTTATGAAGTCATTTTTTTCCTTATGACCTAACTAGGAAAGTGTTGACTGTTGATCTTAGGAGCTGCTCAAACTAATCTATATCCAGTTTATTTATTTATTTGAGTTTTATTTTCCATTTATTTTAAATGAGGTTTTGCTCATTTTTTCAACCCTGTTAACACAGATCCTAGGAATTCTATTAATAATCATTTAATTCTAAATCTAAATTAAATAGACAAAACAAATGAAATTAAATAATAGTAATAATAAACTACACCAGAATGGGTAACAGGGTTGAAAATTTAGCCTAAATTACACTGTCACTCAGTTATTGTTAAACTTACATTTACTAAACTAAAGTAAATATATTTGTTTGATTGTTTATTATTAATTAAGTAACAGAGTTGAAAGTAACAGGGTTGCAAATTTACCCAACAATTAAGCCTCCACTCAGTAGGGGCCTATAAGGTTGAGCCTCACAAATGCAGTCAACATTACAATTTGTTGAATTTGAGAACATGTAATGATATTGTTTACTTTTTTTACGCCATGTTTTAAAAAGTAACTAATGATGTTAAATATTTTTGTATTTGGGGAAAATCATGCAGTAATAGAGGAGCATGTATAATGTGGGAAACAGGTAATGCCTATGTTACGCTGTATGTACATTTTATTTATGTTTCTGGTAATCAAAATTAGTTGATTATCTCTGAGGAGAAAAACATGGGTGCATCTAATGCTTTCTTAAAAAGTAATTGGAATGGACACTAACTGTATCATGGAAAGTGACTTTTATATACCATAATAGACTTTATGTGCAGTATTTAAGTTTGTGAGCAGAATACTGTATCAGAAAGTCAAATATAGTTGAATAGTTTGTAACTATAAACTGGTTCTTATTGATGATCACAGGTGGCCTTAGAAACTTTGAGGGAAAATGAGGCAAACAAAACACTGAAGACAACAAGTGCGACAGAGTTTGGTGAATCAGACAGACCTCCCATTCAGGACGAACTGTCTGTAAAAGTCACAGAGGATCCTGATGGCCAATCATTATCTGATAGATCTGATAGTGATATTGAGGCAGCTGAGTTGGTGAGGCCATTTCCTTTCCCTAGGCGCAAGTCTGAGACAGAACTGTTGATGGATGTAGAGCAAAGTAAAGTTCAGCAGCTGGCAGAGGATAGGAACTCTCCACTGATTGGTCAACGGAACGATCCGAGCCAATCAGCTCATGAAGAAGTTGCGGCAAAGACTGATTCAGCTGGATTAAAAACTGAAGAAGGGAGAAACAGGAATTATAGTCAGCAGTTGAAAGAGGAAGAAATATCAGAAAGGCGAGTTACATGGGAACGTGGACGACGATCATCTGCAAATGACATTACACAACAGGACTTACCTGTAAGAAACCAGTCGAATGGATCATACTCACTGTTTCCTGGTGGAGATGTGGAGAAAAATGCCACTTCTAGCCAATCCCTGCCAAGCACTTCTGCATCAAACAAGCCTCTAATAACTGCATCAACATGTGGGGAAATTGCAGAAACAGGGGAACCAATGCATCAGGATTCAGATGATGACTCTCAAGAAATCAGGAGGGACTCTTTGTACAGTCAGTCAGGAGATGACGAGGGGTTCCTTACAGAATCAGAGAGGTTCTCCAGGGAACTGAAGTCTCCTCTCATTCGGAGGAGACGTGCAAATAATTTGCAACCATCTGTTCCCTCTCATAGTTCCAGGACAGATGTGAACGGATTGGAACTTCCCTCCAATGGAAACCAGAGAAGAGCATCCAACCCTTGCGTTAAACCCCAGGATTCCCACCGAGTGCTAAAGCTGGGATTTCTAAAAAACAACCATGGAACGTTATGGAATGTTGGAATGGAGCCAGAGCAGACACGTGATGGGAATTTTCAGATGAAACCACTCAAACTAAAGACACAGAGGAGCGCCTCCATCCCGGAGATCAGATCCTCTCAGAGTCCCCTCATGCCTTCTCACAGATGCAGCCCCTCGCCCCCTCCAGGCCTGGACCCCCAGCTTCACCCTTCTCCGCTCCAGAGCCTGCTGCAGAGGGTGAAGGAGCGGGAAAAAGAACGCGGACTGAAAAAAAGAGAGGGAAAGATCGTAGAGAGGACTTTTTCTCACCAAGATTCTCCTACTATCTCCGCCTCTCCATCACCGTCGGTCAGTGAAGGAGAGAGAGAGGCAGAAAGAGAGGATTCTGCAGTACCCAGTATGATATCTGCTCATGGATGGAGAGAGGGGAATGTAGATGGAAGTGAGGATGAGATGAAAGAGAGGTGAGTCTACATGTTGTCACCATTGCTGAATGAGTCATTGCTAAATGTGATCTGAAAGCAGTTTTTAGCAGGGTTGTATCATGAAGAATCACATTTTTCTTGATCTTCTGAGATAAAAGAGTTTGTTGTACTTTGAAAACATCAGATGGCGTCATGCAACCATTTATTTGGGGAACCGGTTTCTGTTCTGGCTGCTTATTCTAAAAATGCAACAAATTCCATTCAAATACCAACCTAACATATTGTATGTTGTTGTTGTTTTAACTGGACTAACAGTGATCACCATGCTTTTTTTATAGCATAGATATAGATTTTGAATTTTAATAGTTAGTAATTTTGTGTTACATGGAAAAAGAGTAATGCAAGTTGTGGGAGTGGTGGTAAGTGATCTCAGAAATTTCAGTTTATTACAGATTGTTCAGGTACATGGCTCACAAAGGTTAAAAGTAGGTCATATGTTTTAATTTTAAATTAAGTTAAAAATTATAATCGAATTTTTGTAATTTATTTAACATTGGATAATATAAAATATAATTCGTAATTTACATATAAAGGAAGCACAGCGTCAAAATGAAAATGATGAAACAAATGTAAATATATATTTTTTGGGTAAAAGTTTTATTAACATTAAATAGGAATCTCAATTACGCAAAATATATGATAAATATGTGCATAAATATGTAATATGACCTCCATAAAATCTTAGTTTTAAAACACCACTTTGAATGTGTATTTGTGTCTGTAATGTTTTTTTACTTAAAATTTAAATAGTCTTTCTTTTTAAATTAACCCTAAAAATAACCTTAACTGCCCAGTGGAAAATTATTTTCATTTTAAGTATATTTGTTCCATTTGTGAGATATGACTGTAGAGAGGCTTCACTTGACAGTTTCATGTGCGTTATTTCTTCTTTCTGCCCACACGCACAATTCATCTGTGTACTGTTACATAAAATTCTCTCTAAATTATGACATTCAAACCTTCCCAGGAAATTGTAAGAAGATTCTACCACATCATTGTCCTAACATTATATATAAGCATTTGTTACTTCTCTGGTTTTGCATTATAGACAAGTTAGTTCTTCATTAGGACCATTAGGAATCAGGCTTTCCCCTGGAAAATAATTACATGCAATGATATTTTACTTAAGTAATTATACATTTCTTTAATAACTCATTAAAGCTATGTAGTGCTCAGAACAGGCGAGAAGATAATGTTCATTCAATCTTCTTAGAAACACATAAATTAAAGTTTCATGACATTTCTGACTATTTTAATGTAGCTTAAGCTTCACATTCATGGTTTTCAATTAGGGGTCTGTGGACCCCTGAGGGTCTTTTAAGAGGGTCTGTGAAAAAAAATTAAATAAAATAAAAAATCTTGATATTTCTCATTTTGAACAAATAGTACTTCATGATCACTATTTATAAAGTGTTAATTAAAAGGCCTGTAAACATACATTTATTAACTATTACTTTTTTCTTTCTTTTTTTTTTTTCTAAAAATTGCATTTTACTGCACTGAAAGAATTAGTGTAGGATTTACTTTGAAACCATTTTTACTCACAAATAATTACAAAGAAACATCAAGTAACAGAATTGAACATGACATTTCCAAGGAGAAAGACTGAAATAGTATTTTATTGCAAGCACTGTAGTCGTTTTATTTACAATTTTGAAAAATACTTTTTTTACAGTGTAGGGAAGAAATGACAATAACCTTTACTTTTTTTTGAAGACATTTACCATAAACCCCTGTTCTCTCTTTTGAAGCAATCATGTCCTAGAGGGCATCAGTGTGGACTGGCCAGGCTGGTGTTTTGATGATGAGGAGGTTTATGACTTTGAGAACTTTGACGATGAAGACTGGCTTGACAAGAAGCTGACCACAAATGAGCCCCGGAGGTCAGAGGCGAAACCATCAGAGAGGCAATATGAAATAGAATGTAGTGAGGTGTAGTCTATTAAATGTGTAGAGTTGTGTGAAAAGTGTTTGGAGAAATGTAATATATAAAGTTCTGTGACGTTGTTTAATTATTATGTAACATGACTATTATAGTCAAATGTATTTGAGAGATACATACAGCTTGCGAAAGATTCATTAACATTGTGTCTATTGTTATTATTATATTTACTTAAATGTATTTGTGTACAGAATGTTTTCTCTGTATAGCGATATTAAGAAACCTGTTTATAGCTTGTATTTTCTGTGCACAAGAAACTAAAATAAATTAAATTAAAACATGAGAAATTGTTAAAGTATGTTTTCCCCTTATTGCTTTATTTACATAGATTTTACATTCATATTTGAAAATATATTTGCACCAAAATTAGTTTTTACAAAATGTATACATTTATATATATACAGTATATATTTATATATTTACAGAATAAATGGACTGCTACAATTGTCTGCATTTAAAGCACACATCCACATAGGCATCTGGCATAAACACACACACACACGTTTACACACACACTGGCTTTGGATCACCAACACAAGCTTCAGCCATTTTTGCCCCGCTCCTCCCTCTCTGCTCTCGTTCAGTGGCAGCCTGATGGACGATGGTTTCCATTGCAGGGTAAAGAAGGATCGTTTTCTTCTGTAAGGAGGAATAAATGGGATGAATATGAGAAATGAGCTACAAATAACTCACACTAAATATATTTTAGAGAGCTGTCTTCTGCAGCATTGAAATAGACTTAAATAGACAAAAAGACTGAAATGTACCCGGCGATAGTTTCTGTACATCTGGAACAAAATCAGGAATATCACCAAGAACAAAAACCCTAATCCCATCGCCATAGCAGTTTTGTTGCCAGAACTTGAATTTCCGCTCTTTACAGCACCTGTAGAAATGAACAAAACGGAGAATCAGTGAAAATGCAGTGCTTCTAATTTCAGCTCCTGATTCTACAAATGTTCTGAAAAGTAGGTTTGTACTATTTTATCATTTTTGGATTCACAGCATGCTGCTTTTATTTATTGGCATGTAAATGCTCATGCAAATATCATTTCCTTTACTGTAATATAACTGCTCTACCTACCCATCACATGAATTTGATAAGTCACGTTCCCCAGAACGCCTTGCTTCCCATAGAAGCGACACACCCATTCACCAGCATCTTTCTCAGTCACTTCTTGAATCCTGTAGCTCTTTGTCTTTTGAACAGAGGTCACCGTTTGAGTGTCGTTTGGTCCGTAAGTCACACGGAGCCATTCATAAGAAGTGATCTGGCTGGAGTTGCTGAGATGGCAGGTCAGGGTCACGGGTCCATTCCCGCTGGATGACGAGGATCTCGAAACTAAACATTAGAATTCAGAGAGAAATTCAGCATTCAGCAAATTCAGAATCCCACAAAACAGAAATGAACACCATTTTGATGATTAAAGGCCGATTCTAAAATTATTTAATTGCCGATAACTGATTTATGATATAGAAACTTTTTTTTAAATGAATAGCTGTTAAAAAAATTTGATGTATTATTATACTGAAACTATATGCAATTTTATGTAGGTTAGTTGCATCTATCTTTATGTGAAAATAGGCCTTTTGTCTTATTTTTAAAGTCACGTTCATAGAAATTCAGCTGAACAAATAAAAATAAACCACTTCACCCACTATTCTGAGTGTTCTCGTGATATATTATTCCACTCACCTCGAGTCACAACTAGCTCCATCCTTCTTTGTACTTTAATTCTCCCTCTATTCAATCCCTTCATCATTCCTGAGCATGTATACATCCCTTCATCTCCATCCTCCACTTTCTGTATAGTAGCTGATGCTGAGGGCCCAGCAGACTCACTGAAAGATGCAGGGAGAGGAAGACTAGAGTATGATGTTGCGGAGGTTCTCCTCCACATCACAGTGTACGAGATCAGACCATCAGTAAAGACACAGGGCAAGGAGACGGAAGAACCCACAGCAGCGTACACCACTGAAGAGTCATCCTGAGGGGTGACGATTCCTGGAAAACCAACGGATAAGGTGGATGAGTAACTGTTGCAGACGTTATTTTAAAGAAGAAGCTGGTATTTAAAACAACACTCACCTTTGACCTGTAGGGATGTGGTTGCCTCTACTACCCCACCTTTGTATGCAACCCGACAGGTCCAGTGTCCTGCATCTCTTTGAGACACGTCGGAGAGGCGGGTTCTACTTGTGAATATGCCATTTTGTTTCCAGTTAATGCTTACAAACTGTGTCCCAGGATTGATATCGCACTTTGCCTCCGTTATTAAGCCTTCAACCACTATGGCAGGAGAAAATGACGCTGTGAAGAAAGAGAAAATATTACCGATAAGGCTTCCGGAAGACAGCCAATGGCTTAAGAAAGAAGTGACAAATTCTTGGTTATTACCTCTTACAACTCTGAGACTGATGACCTTCACCATCTGAGTCTTTCCTTCAACTTCACAGACATACTTTCCTCCATCTTCGATTGTTGTTTCAGTGATGTGAAGGCTGTAATCAGACTTTCCGAAGTTCGAGATGGGGCAGTTAGCCCGTGGTGAGTCTCTAACCGGACGAAACTCTAACCCACTCTTATCTCGTCGCCAAACCGTCTTCAGTACACTAGGATATTGAGAAAGAGAGCAAGACATTAAAATGCTGTTGCTTTTGTGCCGATATATTTGACTAATAGATTGTCAGGTTTTGGATAATTGTGTTTATGGATGGATGGATGGATGAAATGATCTTACTTTCCAACTATCCTGCTCCAGTAGACTGCAGTAGGATGTGAGATCGCAGAAGTCTCGTCTACACATGGCAGCACTGCGACAGAACCCTGAGCTACAAACACTTCACGTTCCTGGCACTGACTACCTGCAGAACACAGAAAGATTGCACATTTAAATCTACAAGAAGATAGAATTTAAAATGAGGTGAGAGAGATAAAACAATATTTTACTCATTCATGGTACTCTAAAATGTCACGCTCACCTTCAAAAACCAGCGCTAGCCCCAGAACCATCAGGAAATGTGTCTTATTCATGTTTAGCTCTTCCAAGCAGATCAGTAAACGTATGCCGTCTCTGGTCTTTGTTCTTGAATATATAGTGTTGTGGGTGGTTGAGTGGGTTGGCAGGAGTTGCTCGCTGTAGGTAGTTCCTCTTCTTCTCTGCTTCTCAACATCACATGACTTCTGAAGATGCATGTAGTGAAACTGTTGATGTGCGGTCTGACTGACGTACTTTGGAAAAAGTTAGAGAGAAAGAGAGACACTGAGAGAGCAATAGAATGAGGGAGAGGCAACACTTTGAGGGTTTATTCTCCCACGGATTCACCAGGTCTATCTTGAATTTTCTCTCACCACGTGAAAATCTTTTAGCTGAAAGTATGTCAAACTTCAAAGAATGGAAACAAATGTGTTGATATAAAACAAAACAAAAAGCAATATGGAAAATTTACACAGGCAAGAATGTCTCTATAAATAATTAGGGTACTACACCTATGTAATTTAATTTATCTGCATAGCGCTTTGCACAATACATATCGTTTCAAAACAGAAAATGCATGCACTGTAAGAAAAACAAAATTGCATAGAAAACCAATCATATCCTGGATGCAAATTACTAGTAAATTTTTTGTTAAATTTGCAGACATTTCCTTCAACCCTAAAATACCACACAATGCAATGTGTCATTCAAAATATGTGCAGAGCCTGTAAAAAATCAAAACACAAAATTCCTTCACATTTACACATTAGGCTGTAGTTTTTACATACTTTTTTAGAGTATGTATGTATCATTATTAGTAATAGTATTTGATATTTTTATTTTATTTTCACATTTACACCTTTACATAAAAGACTATTTTTGCATGTAATCTTCCCTATACTATTTTCCTGTTTAACACTGTAAAGCTGCATTGGCACAACCAGTATTGTATAAAGCGCTATACAAATAAAGGCGACTTGACAATATTTTTCATGTATAATCTTTTATACACACACACACATATATATATATATACATATACATACATACAATCGTGGTCAGAATTATTGGCACCCTTGGTAAATATGATCAAAGAAGGCTGTGAAAATAAATCTGTATTGTTAATCCCTTTTGATCTTTCATTCAAAAAATTCACAAAATTCTATCCTGTCAAGCAAAAGATAACTGAGCTTCACAAATTAGAAAGTGATTTAAGAAAAGAGCCAGAGCAGTGAAAATGTCCATTTCCACCATCAGGGCAATAATTAAGAATTTCCAATCAACAGAAAATGTTACAAATCTGCCTGGAAGATGACGTGTGTCTATATAGTCCTAATGCACAGTGAGGAGGAGAGTTTGAGCGGCTAAAGGCTCTCCAAGGACCACAGCTGGAGAATTGCAGAAAATATTATATTGAGTCTCAGGGTCAGAAAACCTTAAAAAAAAAAAAATCAAACAGCACCTACACCACATGTTGTTTGGGAGGGTTTCAAATATATATATATATATATATATATATATACTTGCCATGGTTTTTCTTACATGCAAATACAACATAAATAATTTAGGCAACATACACAAAATTTATGCTGTTTTAGCATGCAATTAAATTCATGCCAAGTTTGTGGATGATGCAAAGCATGCACAATCCACAAAAAAGTGTGTGTGTGTGTGTGTGTGTGTGTGTGTATATATATATATATATTATTTTGCAATATTAAACAACAATGTAATGAAACCTTACCCACCCTAAACCAGTGGGTAAGAAACACAGATGGCATGTGTAATTTTAGCCTGCACCATGGCATCATTGTTTGTTTATGTGGTTGTGTAAGTGCTGCTTTCTGTTCTGTCAGCCTAGTATCAGTCCTGAGCTTCGGAATGCATTTGATTCAGCCGTTGATATGCGGATGTGCGATCAGCATATTCTAAAGCAGCACCACTTCCAGTAAAGGCAGAGAGCCTGTGTGCGAGTGACATGAATATGGGGGTTGGAGTTGTTTTGATGAAGAAAAGAGCTTGTGGCTGACTCAATCGCTCCCCTCCCATTTTTACTCTGTTTTTCACTCCTCCTATCTGTCACAAGCCAGTTCAAGAAATAGTATGTTTTGTAGTTTTTAGCATGCAGTGTACGACTCTCATAATCTGAAGCATTTAAACATCAAATTTCCTTCCTTTTTGTAAAGTGAATGATCTAAATGTGTTTACTAATGGATTTGTGAAGTTCTCACTGGTGTTCTAGTAGAGAAACAACAGTTGTTAATCATCACATTAACTACAGGTGTTATATTAACATTTGGCAACCATAAAGTGTCCAAATACAAGTTTAAAACATTCTTAATTTCTTGATATCTACCTATATAATGTATCATTTTTAACATTTGGATTTTTCTGAGGGCGCTGTACACCAGCTCGGTGACGTTAAAACTTTTAGCCAAGTGGAAACAGTAAGCTGGCTGTTGAATATGCAAATATGTAAATCCATGGAAAAAGCAGCAGGTAGGTATGCCTTCATGAGGTAAAGTATGGGAGGATAACCACAGATCTTGAGACTCTTTCATTCTGAGATTCTCATCATTTCCTTCCTTTGTGTATCTTGTGAGTTTTCATGCCCATTAGGCCCCCATTGCACACAAAAACATCCAAATATCAACCTTGGTCAACGTGAACCACTGCTATCTGGGACATGTTGTGGTTACATACAGCACACAGATATCAGCGTTCACTTTCATGCTCTCCGTCTCTTCAGATCAGAGGGGGTGATATGAGAGTGTGATGGGGTCTTTCCTATTCACTGTATGTGGCTGATACAGCCGATTTGAATAACAGGAGAGCTGGGGAAGACCTATGTGAGCCCCTGATGTGGAAAAAAGAGACTGTCACGAGTGGGTTATATTAGCATGCAGATAGCAGCGAGAATGGAACGTATTAACACTGATTATGCTTGATGGAGGGATTTTGACAGAGATATTACATATTCCTTCCCCACTGACCCCATCAGTCATTTTCTCAGAAGCACAGACACCAACATTCTCCAGATTCAGGTGTCTCACTTTCAATCCTTTGCTTTCTTGAACATGGATATGCTGAAGGAAATTATTATTTAGAATTATTCGAATACATATTTCATTTAAAGTTAAACATACTTCAGCAATTATTAAATGCATTTTCCACACGGAGATATTAAATATGGACATTTTAGTGACAGTAAGCGGCAAGTAGCAAATGTTCTTACTAAAGTTGTCTCTTAGTATTGTAGTTTTTAATTTTAAAACCATAAAATAATTTAAACTTTGCCTAAACATTTAAATATTTATTTATTCATTTAAATACGAAAAAAAAAATATATATACTGGTAATTTTCTGCCAGGACATTATCTGTTAACACATTTCTTTCAACCCTAAAACACAACACAATGCAATACATAATTAAAATAATAATTTAATAAGGGTAAAATAAATATATGACAAAATACATATATTAATAAAATACAGGTTTATGGGAAGATTCTTGTGTTAATTTAAGAAGAAAAAAGAAAGGTTGCAATTGTTAATAAAATTTAAAAAAAAATGGTAGTGTGATTATTTACAAGATGTCCATTATTTTGGGGATTCAATTTGTAAATATATGTATGATTAAACATTTTTACATTAGATTTTAATTATATGAAATATTTAAGAGTGCATTCAGAATCAAATGGGTATTGTAAGAGGCCTTATTTGCATATTCATAAAAACCCACTGACATTTTATTCAGAATGCCATGCAAAGTGTGGTTCAAAAGAATTTGTTTAGTGTATTACAGCCTCTTTTTAATAGCCAAAGTTCCATGAAAGCCAACAGTGGATTAAATGAGCTCAGTTTCATTAAACACTTTGAATCACACATTGCATTTCTCTATAGAGCTGTCAAAACGTAAGTTTATAGAATAGATGAATAGATAATCATCACATGCAAAGCATACGAGTCTCTGAGCATCTGCCTGTCAGCAGATTTGTCTGCCACTTACCGTCTCTTACATCATGGCATAGATCTGTTTCATCTAGAAAGTTTTGTCCTTATATAGAAGAGCCCAAAACGTGTTTTAAACTCAATGGACTTAAATGTGATTTCTTAAAGGGCTTTACAGTGTGAGAACCTGCTATTCACAAGGGCTTTAGATTACATAATTTAAAAACATTTCGAGATAAAGTTTGAAATTATCAAGGTGGAAATTCAGATATTAATATTCATTGTTGGTTATCACGACACCATCACATTTGGCTGAAACTGCTCCAATCTTCCTATTCAAATGTTTAATTTGTCCTCTGTGTACTGGAAGTAACAACCACAGATTTGCAGATCAAAGGCAGTCTGTTTCTAAAAAAATGTTTACTCACCAATAGCAAAACTCCTTCGAATACTGGCCAAGCACTTCACCCAATTTTTTGTTTCCACACACTGTCACTCATTTAAGTTGCGCCGTTTTTCTACATTTGCACGGTCATCCTACAAATGTTTTGATATTTTTGCATTTTAATTGAGGCCATTATTTTTCCTACGGCTTTCTCTCAAAAAACTCTTGGAGTGATCTGCATTCATTGAATTAGTTCTGTACTCAAAACTGTAATCCATTTAAACTACAGAGGTTTAAAAACTACCAATCGTGAATTTCATTACATGCATTTCTTTTCTAGATGGCAAGCTGACATGCCATTGCTATAGTGACAGGAATGCCATAGAGTGCAACAGACTAACTTTAAAACTGGACAAGAAGTTTATTGGCTTACATAGAGACAGTCTGTAAAATTTTTACTTTTAAATATAAATTTTGCCAAAGACAAACTACCGAAATATGCTGCAAAATATTAGGTGATTAAAATAGCACAGAACTTATCTAAGATTTAAAATACTTCTTCCTCATGACTTTATAAAACTTTAAGCTAAATTACATATTTGTACAAATTTCTCTCACTCAAAACTTTCCCATAAACGTTTAACACAAACTGCTTGGAGCTTGTTTTGTGCAAATGTACATGCAAATTAAAATGGAAAATTCAAGGTTCAGTCAAGGTCTGCGCGCATTTC